GGCCAAAGTTTATTTTCAAGGGGGGGTACTGTGCTAAAGGGCAAGAGAGACAGGCTTGACCATGGCAACAAGTCACTGTTCAACTGCCTTCAAGGAGAATTCAATCACATTCCAATATCATACACACTAGATAATGAAGGAATGCTGCCATTTTACTTGGAATTGAACTGGCTGAACATCTTACTATCATAAAATAAATATCTGCTCTGTAAGTCTTTCAGTCTCTCATGTGATAATTATTAAGGATCTATGATGATAAAGAGACCTTGATCTAGATGTTATCTCTCAAATATGAAACTACAGAAGACTTAATCTTTGCCCAGAAGAGGCTGACACATCATAGTTTACTTATTTTTTCAACTGAGCCATATATAAAACCAAAAGAAAATCAAACCCATTGCCATCAAGGCAATTCCAACTCATAGTGACCGTACAGGACAGAGCAGAACTGCTCCATAGGGTTTCCAAGGCTGTGAAATCTTTACGGAAGCAGACTACCACATCCTTCTCCCGCGGAGCAGCTGGTGGGTTCGAACCGTCAGTCTCTGGTTAGAGCCAAGCGTTTAACCACTGTATCACCAGGGCTCCTCCAGCCATGTACAGAGGATAGAAACTCTCTCCTGATACTGTACTGTTACTGGCAGGACATACACACCTACTGACTAAAAGGAAAAGTAATAAACTGGTGTGGCTACTTGGATTTCTTAACCTATGTACCTTGAGGAGCCCTAGTGGCACAGTGGTTGAACACCTGGCTGCTAACCGAAAGGTTGGCCGTTTAAACCAACCAGCGGCTCTACGGGAGAAAGATGTGGCAGTCTGCTTCCGTAAAGAGTTACAGCCTTGGAAACCCTATGGGGCAGTTCTACTCTGTCCTATAAGGTCACTATGAGTTGGAATCGACTTGACAGCAACGGGTTACGTACCTCGTGCAGTAGTGTATTTTTTAACTGGCTAGACAGCTGGTTAAGTGGGAACAAGCAGTTCCTCAACTTACAACAACTTTTGCAGGAGTTGGAATTTGAAGAAGGGAGCACAAAGATGTGTGCAAGAGAGATTAGGGCATGATGATCTAGATGTCACTGGGAAAAGGAGCTTCCTCTCCTCTGACTAGGCACAGCCAAGTGGCTTCTTCTAGAACAGGGTGTGAACTCTGGCACGCCACACTAGAGCACTGTCAGAGTTCATCAGAACAAGGAGAGGCGGCATGGTGAGAGGACAGTGTTTTCATTTACTTTTAAAAAAATAACATCTTGAAAATTAGGAGGAAAAAACAAAGAGGTAGGAAATAGGAGAAAAGACAGGAAATTCAGAAGATCAATCCAGGAAGTTTAGTATGCAAATATTAGAGGAACTCCAGAGAGAGAAAACTGAGAAAAGACATATACACATGTACATATATTTGAATGTACATACTATATGAAATTCCCCACAAACTGAGGCGACAAAGCTTTACTTTGAAAAGACCCACCAAGTGCTCAGCATACAACTGGAAAAAAAACAACAACAACAAAGAGTCACAGTACAAAGGAGATCAGAATCAGAATAATGTAAAAGTTCTTGATTCTAACAATGAAAACTAGAAGACAAAGAAGCAATGCCTACAAATTATGAAAAAGAATAATTTTCAAACCAAAATTCTATACCCAGCCAGGCTACCAATCAATAACAAGGGTAGAATATAGACATTTCCAAATATATAAGAACTCAGAAAATTTATCTCCTATGTGGTCTTTCTTAGAAGAGCCACTGAAAGATGAGCTCTAGAAAAATGAGGGAGGAAACTGAGAAAAAGAAAGACATAAGAGCAGGAACAGAAGGCAAAGGGAAGCAGCAAGTGATAGCTGTTCACACAGCAGGCAGGAAAGCAACAGTCCAGAGAGGACCAGGAGGATGGAAGATTCCAGCAGGAAGGTCTCCAGAGGGAAAAGAACAAGTGGGATTGATAGTTCATCTGGATAAACAATATAAACAGCTGTGTAACATGTTTGAAGAATAGGTAAATAGAAACAAAGCAAAAGAAAAAAAAAAAAAGGAGAGTTAACCAAATCCAAGAAAAAAAATTATATAAGAGAGGAAACCTCATCATAGCATCAAAATTGGCTCAGCAGAGAGAAAGCTACACAGTCATAGTAATGTAAATGATGACTAGTGATCTAACCAAAATTGTGATAAAGCTACATCACAGTACCGGGAGGACAGAGTGAAGAGAACAGGTGGTGTGGTGGTGATGAGTGTATGTGTGGATGGAGAAAGGGTGAATGTAAGAAAACGAAACGTTCATCTACCTTAAAAGGAAATTAATGGGCTGTGTCTAAAATCGGTTAAGTCAAGAAATAGCAGTATGAGCATATTATTTAAAAACATAGAGAAAACACAGGGAAAAAACAGCTCAAGGAACTGACAGTGGTTGTCTCTGGGCAGGGGCTGTGAAGGGTGGGGGTAGAAAACCAGTTTTTGTTACAAGCTTTTCAGTGTCATCTGATTTTTAGCTCATGTCTCCCTCTGCGGGTGTCTTCTTCATGCCATTCACTAACGGGATCTACAACCCCAGAGACTTGGTTCTGACTGTTTTCTTAGGGAGTTCTTCAATTTACAGTGAGCCACACCAAACAAAACTGCTGCGAACCGGAGGCATACAACAAACGTGCAGAGGAGACTACGGCCTACAATGCAGAGGAAATGAGTATGTGTTCTAAGAAAAAGTATGACTCAGTGGGTGCCTGGGGCCAAATCTTGGTTTTGTCACTTTCTAGCAGCAAGTTACTTAGCCTATCTGGGAGAAAATAATAAAACCTACTTCAGAGGATTACTGGGGAGATTATATGAGATAACATACGGGAAGTACTTACTGCAGTGTCTGGGAGATAGCAAGTGTTCATGTGATAATGACGGTTATTTGGGGTCAGACAGACCTAGATTCAGGTCTCTGCTCCACCATTTATCAGTTATTTATCATTGAACAAATAATTTCATCTTAATGACTTAATTTTTGCGACAGTAATTATGCATATATAATGGTACCTTCCTCACAAGGCTGCTGTGAGGTTTAACGAGATACACTACTTACCAAAGAGCCTAGAATTCAGTAGGTGCTCCAAGAACCTAGTTGTTATTATTTAATTCTAAATAATATGGACTTCCAGAGAAAACTGAATAGATTTGCTTTCATCTCCTTTAATATGTAATTTAGAACTGGAAAGAAACCTACTTCTCTCCAAATGTTCCCTATCTCAGTAAATGGCAAAACCCTTCACTCAGTGTTTTAGGTCAAAAATCTAGCAGTTACAAACTGTCTTAGTTATATCTAGTCCTGCTATAATAGAAATACCACAAGCAGCTTTAACAAACAGAAATTTATTTTCTCACAGTTTAGGAGGCTAGAGGTCTGAATTCAGGACACTGGCTCTAGAGGAAGGCTTTCTCTATCAGCTCTGGGGGAAAGTCCTTGCCTCTTTGAGCTTCTGCTCCCGGGTGATCTTCGTGTGGCCTGACATGGCTTCTCTCCCATCTCTACTTCTGGATCTTGCTTGTTTAATTACCTTTTATGTCTCAAAAGAGATTGACTTAAAATATACCCTACACTAATCCTGTCTCATGAACATAACAAAGAAAACCCATTCCCAAATGGGATTACAACTACAGATATAGTAGTTAGGATTTACAACACATAAATACTTCAATCCATAATAGTAACCTTTATTTTTAAATGCATAAAAGTTATCAAACTATTAGAAAAACAAATTTTTGATATTAATAATATATGTGCTTTTATTGACACATTAAAAAACAGCAGGTCTAATAAATTTCTGATTTTGAAGCAGTATAAGTTATATTTTGCAATATCTGCAACAACTGTAAGGTGATATAAAAATATTTATGAACTGGTATCTGCTTAGGAAAGTTAGGATGTAATTCTGTCCAGATCTGAGGAACTCTCAAGGTCTCTTCTAGGACAACTCTGTGATGTTATGACCTAATGACCACTCCTACTACTACCACAACTGTTGACGACAATGACAGTAATTACTGAACAGCTGCCCGCCACACACCGTGTCAGGTATATTACCAACATTACCAACATTACTTTGCTTAACCTTGGTTATAATCCAGTCCATTAGGTACTATTATCAGCAGGATGAAGTAATATGTGCCCAAGGTTACTTACTAAGCATAAAGTGCCAACACTAGCACTCACACCAGATCTAATTCAAAGACAGTCTTTAGTTACCAAAATGTAAATCACAACAAAATTTAAAATTTTTCATTTTAAAATGAAATGGTATATAATTCATCAAAGTTATGGTTGCCACAGTAACTCATAAGAAAAATTACATCAGCTTGAGGACTGATAAATCTGTTTACGCCATTAAAGTACCACATTGTTGCCAGCTGACACAGTTACTGTAAGTGTCACAACAGAAGCAGCTATGATAGAGTGGCTCACATAGATGACAACGTAGAAAACGATGGTGAAGAGAATTAGTTTTAGTTATTTAGGATCCAAATTAAAAGCCACCGTCAGCACTTCTGAAGTCTCTTTAGTCTTTTTTCCAAATTTCTCACAGAAATGCTTAAGCTTGAGAACAACTTTAAATAATAGTTAGGGCAAGTAAAGGGGCATGGTTCCAGTACAAATCCGAAATACCTGTCTCAACTTTCAGATAAAGTGAGAAAAGTTTCGGGTTCTTGTCTCTTGTAAGCTTGAGAGTAACCTCGGACATCATTTCTGAGCGTACTTCTGTGGTCACAAGGACACAAGGATTCTCTGCCAACAATACAACTTTCTGAGCACCAACACACAAAAAAACCTCGTGAGGGCCAGACAATAATACTGTATTTTTTACTATACTACATACAAGCTTTCTACAGCTTTACTTCAATTTAGAAGCCAAAAAGTAATCGTCCAAATTTAATCTTTCTTTACGAGGATGCATGTAAACTATATTGCTTTTAATGCTGGAAGTTTTTAGACTCATCTGCTTTATGTTCCTTCTCACCTGGCCTGTTAGTGGCCGCCATAATAAAGACCTGCTGTCGTGTTTCCAGACCATCCATCTCCGTAAGCAGCTGATTCACCACTCGGACGCTTGCCCCTGCCTAAACAAAAATACAATTCCATCAGCTTCCACTAAAAAGGAAAAAAAACAAAAACCATAACCAATTATTTCCATAAAAAAATAACACATCTGCTAACCTGAATAAAAGCTTTTGTCAAACAGATGGTAACAGCTGTGTTCTGAGGACTCACTATATCCCGGCACTGTGCAAACATGCTCTCATCAGCCCTCTCCACCTATCAGCAGTCCTGTTATTCTCCACAGTTCAGATGAGGAAACAGGCTTAGAGCTTATTTGTTTAGGGTCTTACAGCTAGATAAGGGTAGAGGCAAAACTCAAGCTCAGGCCTAGCTGACCTCAAAGTCTTAGCCTCTGAGTTATTCAAAGATCTAACAGCCACAATGAACTTCCCTTTGGGCTAAATCTAGTCTCAACTTTTGAACTCCAGATTCCCCAGAATATCAGGTCTTCTGGATCTTTCAGTGCAGTAAGTACAGGAGATCTGGGACACTGTGGCTTCTTCTCTTTCCTTGAAGCACAGGCCAACATCCAAGAGAAAAGTTCAGGGAGTTGGTAAACAGAGGTGTAGACCAGCGAGATATAGGAAATACAGAGAAGGGAGAAAAGTGGTGCTGTTTCTTTTTGTCACTAATTGCCTTTCTTCAACATAAATTTTATGTACATGTGCTACATGTACAGGTGGTAAGGGGTTTAACCTACTGATTTCTCCAGAAGAAACATCTGGTGCACTGTATCACTCCTTGGTGGCATAACGGAGCCCTGGTGGTGCAGTGGTTAAGAGCTTGATTGTTACGCAAAGGCTGGCAGTTGGACTCCACTAAGCTGCTCTTTGGAAACTCTATGGGGAAGTTCTACTCTGTCATATAGGGTCGCTGAGTCAGCATCGATTTGACAGCAATGGGTTTGGTTTCAGTGGCATAACAGTAATAATTAAGAGATTAAGAGAATGACAATCCAGATTAAAAAAAAAAATACTGGATTAAAAAAACAAAACAAAACATTCTTCTACCTAAGAAAGACAAAAAAAATCTCAGAATCACTAAAGGAAAAGGTTGGTAAATTTTACTACACTAAAATTATAGCGTTCTTTACAGTCAAAAAAACTAAAAATAAGTGATGTTGCTATTGTTAGCTGCTGTTGAGTCAGTTTGACTCATGGAGACCCCATGCGTGCAGAGTAGAACTGCTGCATAGGGTTTTCAAGGCTGTGACCTTTTAGAAGTAGACTGCCACATCGTTCTTCCAAGGCATCTCTGGGTGGGTTTGAACCACTAACTTTCCAGCTAATAGCTGAGTGCTTAACCCTTTGCACCACCAGCGATTCCTAAGTGAGAGACTGAGGAAAAACAGTATCAAAACACATAGAAGGACAAAGGACTAATTTCACTAACCTCCATCATATATATAAGCTCCTATAAATCAGTAATAAAAAAAAGAACATGCCAATAACAAAAGGGTCAAAGGATATGACCAGGCAATTCAGAGAAGCTGAAATGACAAATTTATAGAAGATGGTCAACTTCACTGGTAATCAGAGAACTGAATAAAATTTAATATTATGTTTTGCCAACAAAATTGACAAAAAATAAAAAGATGGATAGTATCAATTGTTGGCAAAGGTGTGGGAGATGGTTATTTTTACACACTGTTGTGGGCATATGTACCTTATAGTTTTTATGAAGGACGATATAGCATTATCTTTCAAATTTATTATGTATACATCTTCAACTCTGAAATTCCACTTCCAAAACTCTCTTATTCTTCCACGTGTGCACAAAAATATACAAATGTTTACAATTCTGTTTGTAAAACCAAACAACTGGGAACAACTTAGAAGTTCATAGTAGGAGAATTTATTAAGTGAATTCTGCTTTCATCCAGACTGTAGAATATTATGTAATAGTTAAAAAAAAGATAAAGTTATTAAGTACATGGGAAAATCCTCAAGACAGAATGACCATATTTATATGAAAAAAGAAGTCTAAACTATACAGGTTTCAAATGTATGGGAAAAGTTCTAGAATGATAAATACTAAACAGTAAACTGTTAGCAGCAGTAATCTCTAAGGAGAATGGGAAGAGCTCATTGTCTGTATTTGTGCCTTATTCGAATTTTTTACAAGCATGTATTCATATATAACTTATGTAACAAAGAGAAAATACAATCAAATTTAAAATGTTTCCAGAATCCCCCTCAGGTGAAAATGTGAAAAAAGCAAACTACATATATCAGAGTATGGAAATGTGGTAGGAGATAGCCAATAAAGAGATAACCCAGAAGTTAGGAATGTACTTCACATGGCTGCAGACTTCTCTGAGGACTGTAGGGACCAGATATACCTCAACAAGGCCCTCCAAATTTAGACTCACCAGCTGATAACAGAGAGATGTAAATTATTGAAAGGGACTGTGGGCAAGTGAAGGGTCTTTTCTTGGCAAAAAAAAAAGGAATTGAAAGGAGTAAAATCTACAGTATTTACAGCTGTGGCTGGTAAATCAAACCGTAGTGTTTTACTCTGGATTGCACGTTAGATTTTGGAATCTGTAGCCTGCAAGGGAACCTGGGGAGGATCTCTGCCTCAGCCTATAACACCACAACGCTAATAAGGAATTTCCCTGATGATATCAATGATGCCTGAATAAGGAAACAAAGTCACTACGATTTGAGTCATGCTTCTGGTAGTCAATTTTCGTTTCTGCAGCTTTTGAATGTTTCTGGAGACTTTTAGAGAAATGAAGCATTTAATCAATGTTTCACAACCTAAGAAAACACACACACACACATAAAGACTAACTGTTTGTAATTAAATCACGAATGATTTCCCAGATTTCAGAAATGTAATCACCTCCTCAGTCATCTTAGGATAAATGTACTTATTTAACAGTCTTTGCTATCTACTTCAAAAAAGGTTATATATTCTTTATACTACGCTTCAAATTATTATACAATAGTACCCCTGATAACTATCTCTGGGCACCCTCTGTACCGAAATCTCTAAGAACTGTGACTCAAGTGTGGTTGATGCAAATGGTATTCAATGAAGAAACCTACCCAGAGGCACCTCGGAAGAAAGTCTTAACAATCTACTTTTGAAAAATCAGCCACTGAAAACCTATGGAGCACAGTTATACTCTTCATCACACAGGGTCACCATGAGTCAGAATCAACTCGGCAGCAACTGGGTTTTTTTTTTTAATGCACAATGTCTTAAATCACATTCTGTCCTGTCTGAAGAGCCCACTGCCGTTTCCAAAATACTCATTAGTATGAATCAAGATTATCCAAATACTATGTAGGCAAAATACTATACAGAAAAAGAAAAACTGATACAGAGGCTAAAAAACAAAAACAAAACCCCCCACAACTGTCATCCCTAAGCCCTGATTTCAAATGATTAAGTTCTTCATGTAGAGTCTCAATGTTTTCAAGGAATGACTTTATAAGCACCTGATTGGGAAATTATAAAAGGCTTATGGTGCTTAAAATAATCCGTAAACCACTCATGTATGATACTTGCCTCTCGGTCTGATCTTCGAGGGCATAAGGCATCCACTTCATCGAAGAATATCACACAGGGTGCTGAGTTCTTGGCTCGCTGAAAAACCTGGCGCACAGCGCGTTCACTCTCGCCAACGTACTAAACAAACACAGAAAGGCAAGAAAATGTAGAGACAGTTCAACTTTTAGGTTTGGGCCAAATTATAATAAAACTAGCTATAAACGACAGCTATGTCAGAGTCGAAATAGGTTGAACTATATGCAACTGCTAATATTTAGTAATTTTTTTTATCTACAGAAGCTACCAATTGCATACGGTTCAATTAATAAAATTAACTATTATTTAAGCTTATTATAAATTTCCTCATTTATAAAATAAGGACTAAATGGGATATATGATCTTTTATAGCTCAAAAATTTCCATAATTGTCTTTTAGAACTGATCTCCTAAGCCTTATGCATCTAAAATACCCAGCAGTAATTTTCATTAATTCATCAAGATTTTAACTGCACAGAAGAGAAAAGACTGTTCTACACCAGTCGCCTTGATGCCGTACAGCACCAGAGGAGGTGGGACTGAGCCAGCCAGGCACCTAACAAGTTCCATAGTGCTTTACTGTATGCTGAAATCTGAATCAAAATATAAAACATCAAGATTAGTTGAGAAATATATCAATTCATGAGCAGCTGCCCCTGGGACTAATTAATACGAAAAGCTGTAAGTAAGGACATGGTTTCATTTTTAGCTAGGCATAAGAAACTGTTTTTGTAAAATTTTAAACTAGTTGACTAAGAAAAAGCACTTTTTTTTCTTAATAAACCGGCTAAATAAGACAGCATCCAAACAACATCTTTACACTGCCAACTAGTCGATAATGACTATGCGGTCCTGATAAAGTAAGGCAATTAAGGCACAGAATACATCACAGGTGGCAGTGATTGAGTGTTTTTACTTCCAATTAAAATAGAACTTTCTTTCCCTCACATCTATCCCATACTTTTCTTTGTACTTTTACTCATTCTGCTTCCCTTAATTGAAATGCTTTTCCAAACTACCTCCAAACATTTCTTCTTGCATTCTAAAAGATCCCCATAAATCCTTCTTCCCATTACTCTCTTTGCTCTTATGGCACTTTCTACTATTATAACATTTCATCTATTGTACCTTCACAATATTATAAGGTCCTTGGAAAGCAGACGTTAGGTCCTTTTCGTATTTTTCTCTCATAACATCCAGCGAAGTGTACAAATATAGCAGACTGACTTAATTTCCTGAAAAATCTAATTCAGCAAAACTTATATCTGGAAAGCTGAACCAAATTATTCAGTAGATATTTTAGAAGAAAAGATATCAGTGAGTTGGGAGAGAGAGTTTCAGACCGGGATGGAGCAGAACAATCAATATAGTTGGCAAAGGGACTTTGGACACAGCAAACCAAAATGACTAAGTAACGGGAAATTTTAAGCAGAACAGAATTTCATATTCTCATGGAACCCAGACCTTCTGGAGCTGCTGAGGTTGGATGAACCCCCGAAATTATTGCCCTGAGATAATCTTTAAGCCTTAACCCAAAAACATGCCCTAAAGTCTTCTTTAAACCAAACAATAGTTTAGCTTAATTAGTAAAGAATGTCTGCCTTGAGCATTGTGCTCTTTTAGGAACTATTTATATGGGATCAAACTGACAACAGCAACTCCAAAGGTTAGACAGGAAGCTAACGAGGCAGTGAGTTTATGTTAACAGAGGAAGAACAATTCAGACAAGGAAGGTGAGAATGGCTTCACAACTTGATGAATAGAATCAAAGTCACTGAATTGTACATGTAGAAATTGTTAAATTGATGTATGTTCTGCTATGTATATTTTCAACAACAAAAATACATAAATAAAAAAAAAAGAAAATTTTAGTTAGAGGAAGGTAAACCAAGCTTCAAAAGGACAGATTAAAACCAATTTAATTCTAACAAAGGCAACACTGATTAAAATCAAACAAGCAAACAAAATGAAGTTCCACTATCCTGACTTTTTTTTTTAAGAAGTGAAAGAAAAGTTTTATTATTGCATAAGCATTAAACCAGAATGGTATGCATCACTGGCAATCCACTGAAGAGATTGCCTATCACAACCTTAAGAAGAAATATTTCAAATAAGAATCTTAGAGGGTTCCGGCAAGATGGCACTCTAGGCAGAAGCACCACGCCGTCCCTCTACAGCAAAGATCCGAAAAACTAAGCCAAACAGACAATCAACAATCCTGAAACCCCAGAACATCAAATGAAGAGATAAAGAACTCAGCCGAGCATCAAATGGAGTGAGAATACTGAAAGAGAACGGAAAGCGAGGAGAGATTCATGCAGAGGTCCCCTACCAGCTAACGCAGCATGGATCCACCATCTTGGACTCCTATCGGAGACCAGCAGACGGGGGTGCGAGAGGGCAGCCTCGCGGAGCGTCCACTGGGAGACAGAGCAGCCAGTAATTTGCGGTGTGCACTTTCCCACCCCCCACCCCTCTTCGCCCCGGCTCGGGCTCCTCTGCTTCCTGTGGCCACAGTCTCTTGACTGGGAGGCACCGGCTGCTTGGATTCCGCACGCCCAGGCGGGCGGCTCTCTGGGTGCCATTTGTTGGCTGCTAGTGTTGCTTTTTTTTCCTGCTTCTTTTGGTTTCTCGCTTGCCTCTCGCCGCCTCCCCCTCCTTTTGCTCGAGTGCCTGGCTCCAAGCGCCATCTTTGCTCTTTCCTGCGGGGCTGCGGGGCTCCATTCAAGTGTGCAGCTGCTTCCCGGTCTGGGCTGCCACGCTGGTGGAATCCCGGGGATTTTGTTCGTTTGTTCCTCTGCTTCCCGCGGCCACAGTCTCTTGACCGGGAGGCGCCGGCTGCTTGGATTCCACACACCCAAGCGGGCGGCTCTCTGGGTGCCATTTGTTGGCTGCTAGTGTTGCTTTTTTTTTTTCCTACTTCTTTTGATTTCTCGCTTGCCTCTCGCCACCTCCCCCTCCTTTCACTCAAGTGCCTGGCTCCGTGCGCCATCTTTGCTTCTTCCTGAGGGGCTCCAGAGTGCCGGCAACTTGTGATATACGCTTTCCTACTCTCCACACTTCTTCACCCACACTCGGCCTCCTCTGCTTACCACGGACACAGTCTCTTGTCCAGAAACACCAGCCCGCACTGGCTGGCTCTCTGAGTGCCATTTGCTGGCTGCTGGTGTCGCTTTTTTTTTTTTTTTCCCCTGCTTCTTTGGCTTTCTTGCTTGCCTCTCACCGCCTCCCCCTCCTTTCGCTCGAGTGCCTGGCTCTGTGCGCCATCTTTCCTTTTTCCTGAGGGGCTGCGGAACTCCATTCGAGTGTGGAGCTGCTTCCTGGTCTGGGCTACCGCGCTGGTGGGATCCCAGGGCTTTTGTTCGTTTGTTCATTTTGAATTGTTTGTCTGTTTTCTTTTCCTTTTCCTGTGTTGGGAGCCCTTTCTGGCCAGGCGGAGCTGCGTGCCAGGGAGACTCCCCTTCGGCTTCCACAGACGTGCAGAGGGATCCCGGAATGCATTTCTTTTTTTGTTGTTTTTTTTTTTCTGTTTTTCTGGAGGGCCTTTCTTGTTCTTTTTTTTAATTTGTTTTGTTTTCTTTTCCCTCTTTTCCCCTTATGTCTTTCTTCATTGTTCAATTTCTCATCTCTCTAACTCTTCCTTCTCTTTCTGATCCCTGAATACCAGGCATTGTATGCCTCTGCACCTTCTGGCCAGGCTGTGCTGTGA